GTTAGCCCACTGGATCACCAGCACGGGTGAGTCGACCACTCACCAGCGTTGCCGACCATGACTAACGTTGTCCGACCACGCACTATGACTAGAGGTAGGACAATGATAGTTCATGGTCGGCATCATTAGTGTGTGCTCGGGAACACTAGTGAGTGGTCGGATATCTACATGTCGGAGATCCAGTGGGCTAACACTAGCTGCTCTCTAAGCGGCACACTTGAAACTGTTTAGGCAAGACCGGCATATTCCACCTTAAATTACTGATAAACTTTCTCTCCTTATCAATTGCAGGTCAAATTGATTGGCACGCCCTCGGGAGGAATTTGTAGGGTCGACTGGTCCTGCGTTGAAGCCAAGCTGATCTCCAGCCTTACTCCATCAAGCAGATCCTTTCGGCTTGCTGTGTCCCAGGCGCATTGACACATTTCTGCGCCAACAAGGTCTTTCATCATATTTGATTTGGGCAATTTCAAAAATTCTATTCAAACGCTTATAATCTTTTCCAAGAATTTTGTCCATCAAATCTTTTTTCTTCTTCAAAAATTTACCCAGAATCTCAACAACCTTAACTTCAATAGCAGAAACAAAATCTTCATCTCTTGTATACTTCTTCGGGTGAAAAGCTTCTTTATCAGGATAAATATAATCCTTCCCCCTCACAACTTTCTTATGAAAACAAACAAAACTCCAACCCTTCTTAAGAGGCCAAACTCGCGCTGCAATATATTCTTCGCAAATATCACGAGCAGTTTGCAGATTAGCAGTCAACTTGTAAGCCTTCTCACAAATCTTTGAATTCTTTATATTAGAAAATCCAGGCTTGCAATAAAAAACATTCCTTCCCATCTTCGCAGCCAATGGATAGCGCTTCACAATCTTCCTTGACTCATCATTTTCTTCAACCATTGGAACCGTATGGTAAAACCAATACCGGTACCAATTTTCAGCCCAGTTATTCTTGGAAGCAGGAGAAATTTGTTTAGCACCTCGAGCAGGTTTAAAACTGCAACAACCAAAGTATTTAATAACAGTTTTCCCATCCACAGTCTTATTCCTAAACTGAGTATGCATCTCATGAAGAGCACAAAAAGCCCTGATGTCCAAGTTTACATCTTGACACTTCACTGCCCAAATAAAAAGAGCAATCTTCGCTAATCCATTAGGAGTCAAATGATACATTTCTATATTACATGCCTTCAAAAGTTCTTCAAGAAAATCTTGACATGGCATACGAAGTCCAACTACAAATTGATCCCGAAAAACCACACATTCATATGGTTTTTTTTATCATGAATTACTTTAATTACAGGCAAACGAACAGATGCCCTCTCCACCATTCCATTAGTCACCATCCAATCTAACTCTTTATCATCCATCAAAGTTTGTCTAAACTTCAAAGACTTCGTATCATCACCAACCAACTCAGACTCAGACGCAGAAACATCTGATAAATCTTCACGAAAGTTAGACTGATTAGATCCAACTGGAGAGTTTGCAGAAGCATTCTTCTCTTGATCAGACATCTAGAAAATAAGAAACTTTTTCATCAAGATAAATAATAATAACAACAACAACAAAAGAAAGAGAAAAAACAAAAACAAACGAATTTAAAACTAACCTTAAGTCAACAAACTTTTAACCTTGAAAAAAATAGTCTTTGGAAAAGTGTTTTGTCTCCTCAAATTTTTTTGGCTTCGCTTCAAAGAAAATTTCAGCAGCACCTCTCCGTCTTCGATAAAGTAGCAAAAACAAGGGGAACGGACCGAAGTATATATAGGCGGCTTCGGGTCAAACTGACAGTTCAGCTTCCGACGATCAAATACGACCGTTGCAATTGAAAAAACCAACTGTTCACAGTCTAACGGCTAGAAACGGCCAACTCCAAAGTTCGGGATGGCGTTTTTTTGTCTTCGTTTTCAATCCAAACTTCACGGGATTCAGACCTTTGGAGTAGGCCTTCTCCCGCCGCGGAGCTGCTGTTGGGGATTTAACTTCGCCAAGAAAACTCAGCCACTGAAACTTTGAAGTTGAAATTACGATTTGTATAACAAAATTTACTTGTAGGACAAAGCAATGAAGCGAAGGTGGAAATTTGACTTCGTAAGAAAGATTTCGTCTTCGCTGGTGAAAAGAAGAAAGCAAGAATTAGGTGAAGACAAGAGTTTGACTTTGCCTAACATTCTGAAAGAAGAAGAAAATCAAAGCAGAAATCGACTAAGTCTGGAAGACGAAGACAACGGTGAAGTTGATGTACAAAAGTTGAAGAATAAAGGCTCAAGAAAGGAAAAAGACTACTTCACCCTTGTAGTTAAAAAGGGCTGTAACCGTAAAATAGTCATTCTATGTAAAGTACGAAGATTAGGACCCCTATAAAAACCCCCTCTAACATGTACAGTATGATCATGAAATGAATATAACTTGATCTTGTGTTTAAATTTTTTATGCTTGAGTAATTTCCTACCCAACGCTACCCCAAAATATTTTAAGACTGCTTTTCCAGGAACCATCCGAGACATATATTGACGGATCATTGGCTCAGTGGCCAACACGTACGGTGTTACATGGTCAGGGCTTCAGACTTCAGTGCAGACTGGTGGTTTAGCTGGTTCTTTTTCGTGGGGTTTTCGATCTTTCCACAACAAAATCTGCAAACAAAAAATATGATCCTTTTAGAAGAAAAAAAAGAAGCGAACTTTACAACAAATGAATTTAAATTTGAACAAAAAATTGAATTGAGGGGTTCATTTTAACACATAGCAAGCAAGTTCATTAATCGGTAAAAACTCAAAGAAACCAAGTACTGTTTTTATGTGATGGAAGAAGTGGCAGGATTTCACATGTCCAATTTGTGATTTGTGGAAACGGATTTCTAAAGGTGGTTGGACCTAGACTAACAAATCAATTTCTACAACACACGCGTAACCTAGAATTTCAAAAAAATACTATTTTTTCCCGACTTGTGAGTTTTAGAAAAGAATTATTTATAGAGTCAAACCTACTATAAAAATTAATTTTTAGGTGTGGCTAGAAAACCGCCTTTATAAATTGTCGATTTGTAAAGACGCACGGGTATCGGCGGTTGAGCTATACAGGCTTTCCAACCGTCTCTACAACTACTTTTCGTAGTAGCAAAAGGGTACAAAGTACACAAACCCAAACTCCTTCAGCGTGTCGGTCTCTCGGCTGGAATATAGCACGAGGAATAATCTAAATTAAGTTGTATCTCTGGCCTGATAGGTACATGTGTGGCGCTTGCGCTTCGATCGTGTTGACGACGACAGTTGAATCGTTCAAATGTAAGGACTGGCTGGGCAGTTCTCTCTCAATCGCAGTGGGTAACGACATGTGAGAGGTCATCATCAACCAATAAATCATAGATTTGAAATCATTACACTAGTGCAATTCACTAAGCAAACTGAGGAGATTTGGTTTTCCAAACCGTGTAGCAACTTTTTCTTGTACCACAAGTTGTACAATCAGAAATAAATAACGAACACTCGAACAGTTTCAACTTCTATCTATAGAGCTACTAGTAGTTCGACATGTGGACTTGGTCCTCTCCTCTTCGATCGAGTGGAAATTAATTAACCTGGCGTTAGAGCTAATAATAACTTCACTGATAGAGATACATACTCTGTACTCCCGCAGCAGCGCCGACGACTTCCATTGCTGATGCAACCCTCCTCTCCCGCGGCAACTCCCAGCTCGCCTAGGCCTCCGCCCCCACGCCAGCCAAGAAGTAGAAGTCATCCTCTTTTTCCAAGGTCAAGAATAAGAACATATAGTATTTGTTTACGTTCATCACGAACCAAACAAATAGCGTTGTTTACAGTTCCTTGTAATAACTAGCGCAGACAACTTATTGCATTACTGTTGCCACACCCACCACTGAAGCCCTAGTTGAAGCAATTAATGCATAAAGCCTTAAACTTGGCTATTGGGACCACACCTTGATTGAGTAAGAGGTACGCTTTGCTCACCTGACGCGTCTTAGACTCTAGATCAAGTTGGGTGAAGGAGAGCAAGAAACTTCTATATCTCATGAGTAACGGAGACGGCTAGGGCGCCCGTCTCCATAGAGCGCCACTAAGAACGTGTTTGGCCGGGCTCCACTCGGTCTGCTCTTGTGCGAGAGCCGGAGCCGGAGTGCCGGAGCCTCAAATCGAGGCTTCACCTGCCGTACGCCAAAACGGCTTCTGCTCTCTCATTTCATGGCAGAAGGGCTCCTCCGGCCTGTAGCGTTTGGTGCGGCTCTGCTGCCGGAGCTGTGCGGGAGCCGCACCAAACACGCCCTAACACATGCACTGAATTGGAGATGGACACATCCTGCCCGCCTCCGTAAACACTATTTGACCGCCCTCCATTAACATGTACAGTAGTAGTGACTCTTGAAAATCTGGGCCTGCTCCTGAGCACACGTGTCATGTTGGGACTTCAACACTGGTATATAGTTTCTACCGCCAAAAACCTAACCAGGCCAGTTGAGACTCAGTTCACAACCCTAAAAAAATCCTAGCTTCTATATTGCCAATGTATGAGAGAATGATTGATGTCCAAAGACCTGAATTTATGACCGAGTTTATGTCAAAACGACAGATACATAACCTATACGCTCATGGAGTAAGAGAGCTATCGCTTTGCTCAGGCGACGCGTCTTAGACTCTGCATCAAGTTGGGTGAAGGGGAGCAAGAAACTTCTGTCTCGTGGGCACGTACTGCTTGCTCTGCGCCTTATACTCTCCAGCTCCTCTCTGCTTCGTGGAGCAGGTCTTGGTAAACATATATACGCCAATATACGCGTTGATTCGCACAGAGGCATCTCGGTGCAGTGCCAAGTCATCATATGCATCATGCATGGCAACACGCACTTTACATACACGTATATATATCGTGGATTGTTTGTGCAGTCGTGCTCGTGCCCTAGCTCTGGTTCGCTGCATACCACACAACACAGCCAGCGTTGCTCATCAGCCGGTTCTTCATCTTCTTCGTCGTCAGTAATGGGGGCTTTTCTATCTGTATCCGGCCACGGCCACTCCTCCCACCCCGAGCACTGCGCTCGCTTTAATCGCGTCGACCGCAACGACTCCCCGCCGTCGCCGTGCAGGATGTGCAAGCTGAACGTGGAGACCGGCGCGGCGGCCTATCGCTGCTCGGAGCCCGGCTGCGACGTCGTCCTCCACGACGCCTGCTACCGACGCCCGACGACGCTCAAGCGCCACTTCGGGCACCCGCAGCACCGCCTCACCCTGGGCGCCGACACCCGCGCCGGCCTCTCGTGCAGCCTCTGCGCCCAGCCGCTCGGCACGCCAACCGTCGCCTACAGCTGCGCTCACAGCAGGTGCGCCGGTTTCAGCGCTCACCCGCGCTGCTGCAACCTCCCGAGGAGCATGACCACGCCGCCGGACCTGCACGAGCACACCAGGCTTGTCCTGCGCCCTCCGTCGGCGCCGGGTGGGAACAGTGGCAACAGCGAGGCGCGGCCGCGGCGAATATGTCTCAAGTGCGGGAAGACGGCCACGACCGCGGGGCGGAAGGCCGCACCGTGGTCGTACCAGTGCCCCAAGTGCGCCGGTGTGGAGTACTGTCTCGCGTGCGTGCTCGGCAACGACGACGGTAGCACCGTGCGGTGCTGCTGCTTGCCGTGCTGCGCCGTCGACCCTGCAGGCGTGCACTGTGTTGGGTATTTGGCCGGGGCGCTCTTGTGTGGGTTCTTGTCTGGAATGGGATGCCCGGGCATCCCAACTCAGCCGTACCCCGGCGACATGGAACTTACTCCCAGATACCGAACGTGATTGTGGAAATCTAGCAAAAAGCTAGCTTTAATTGGTGAACAAGTGTGATTGCAAAATGAATGTTTTTCCCATCTACACCCATATATATGTGTAAAATTGGTGGACGAGTCTGTATATGATGCCATCCAGTTTTCTGCAATATTCAAGACAACCTAATTTCCAATATGATTACAACTGTCGGTGACGGTTATTAGTAACAACTGTCAGTTTGATTAGTGACCTGTAAGGTATAACTGTATTGGTACGTATTTGGTCATGGTAGGTGTTTCCAAGAAATGTTGATAAAATTTGAAATATTTGTCCTGGCGAAATATTACTCAAATTTGAAGGTAAAGTTTGAAGTATTTCTACCTAAATTTTTCTAGTATTAGCTACTGATAAGTAATAACAAAGCCACTGCTTCTATGTTGGTGGAACCCAATTAGTAATGTTTTCATACGGAGAACAACATTAATACCGTTACTTTTGGCAACATATCAGGTGCAAACCAACCAACTTGTGCAAACTTGAAAACTATCGATCAGGACCACTAGATGCTGATCCAACACGCAAATTTTTTTTTGTGTTTTTCTTTCCTCGAAGGAGAACAGTTTGAATACAAGCCATAGGAACAGCAAAGTTAGGGCACTTAGCTTCCAACAAGAAATTGCTATAAGATAGTTTCCATACTTACCAAGATATACAAAACAAAGAAATCATATATATTTCCAGTAGATGGTTTCTTCATAATAAATTTTTATCCATTCACATGTCTTCTCTCTCTTATCCACCTGTCACATTTCTTCCTATCTTCATTCTCACGTATAGACATAGTTTTTTTATAAGAAACAGTTTCCTTTTTCTCTGTTCCATAATTCTAATGTCATCACCATTTTATTTAGTTTGCACCGTAACTAATAGGTATAGAAATCATCCTAATTATTTCTGGGTTGAGATAACCGCCATAATGTCATTAGATGTTTGCATACAATAGAGTTCATTCCAAAGACAAAGGAAGAACACGACCTAAAGCAAACATTAAAAATCACATCACGTAATCAAACCGTGCCGCTCTTAGGAGGTGTGTAGAGCCTAGGAACCACGCGCACACATACACGATGGGCAACGAAGAGGAATAGGATAACGCGGGAGATTTTAATTTCCAAATGGCATTACAACTAGGTATCTTTTAATATTCTCCCTCTGTATTATTATTTCATTTTGGTTACTCGCTCCTTTTTATATATATTCACACATGTGACATCATGATAGATAAGTTTTACCAACTTTGGATGAAACTAATGACAAGTTCACAACTAAACGTAACGCGCGTAACCATGGAGACATTCAACCAAAACTTGGAAACTTTAGTATATATTCCTGCCGCATCTGCACGGTCTTCTCACCACAGTGGACATGCAAGTAAACACGCTCTTTTGCAGGAAACCACAGTGGACATGCACGGTCTTCCTTTGTCTAGCTTGCAGGAACCATTGCGTTGTTGTATCCTCTTTTGCAGGTCCAGTTGGTAGGTCCTCAGTGTCGAGGGTTGTCCCTCTCTCTTTTCTTCTTTTTCTGTTGGTTCCTTTTTTCTTCTTTGGTTCCGCTCCGCTTCTAGGGAACCGTTGGTTACCTTAAGTAGAGCTTGTTGTTGTTTCGACTGTGTTTGTCTACTCCTTCTTAATGAAATACATGCTACAGCGGCATGTTCGCTAACAAGTAAACACGCTTGGACAGATGCAGCCTGAGAAGATTAGCAGAAGTGGCTGACACACATCGACTTTGGCGTGGCTGGGGTGCATCTTGATCTTGATCTCTCTGTCCCTTCATAATTTAAATGGAAATTAATTATGAAAAGATTAATTAGTTTGATTTATTTGTGCTAGATAGACAAACTAATGACGTAAGATGTTGAGAGAAGGCAAGGAGATATTAGCAAGTATGTGGGGCACCATGCCAAGTGGTGATCAAGAGTTTGACCTTGGGCCAATGCAAGTAGATAATATTGCAGTAACGTCGTCATCTTCAACTCTTCGTAGACAGTAACAGCACTAGTGACGCAGTCCACACGTACATCCTTTTCACGAAGCAGAAGCACGCACACGCACACGCACGCATCGACGCATGCACAACGGCTGAACCTGCTTGGTAAGTAGAGTAGTAGTAGAGGAGACTGGGGAGGACGACTCATCCAGCAAGTTGCCTTCTGGAGAACTAGTGACTACCTTGCCTATTACGATCATCGACTGTGATGCTGGCCATGCTTCCCTGGTAGAGAGACGGCCTTTATTCCCGGTGGGGAACCCCCTCTAATTCCGGTTCCTCACCCGGGAGCAAGCATCCGGGACTAAAGGAGGTCCTTTAGTTTCGGATCAGGAACCGGGACTAAAGGGGGATCTTTAGTCCCGGTGGGTAACATCAACCGGGACTAAAGGTGCCTCCTGACATGCCACGAGGCTGGCACCCTTTAGTCCCGATTGGTAATACGAACCGGGGCTAAAGGTTTTTTTTTCTTTTTTCTTTTCATTTTTTTTTTTCTTTTTTCAAAATAGGTTTTCGAAGTCGTATTGTACGTTGTTAATAATACATTTATACGCGCGTATAGTATGTTTCGGTTCAAGCACAATGAACGTATTAAAATCACACAATTCAAGCATAGAAATATATATATATATATATGCATGCATGCATATGTGTATTTTACATTATATTATTTCATGTGCATATATTACAAAAGATTGCAATACAGTTGTTGTGATATAACAAGTTTCCTCTCATCCTCTAGCTTGGCTTCCATGGCAGTGTTGGGTCGAAATAGAACTCGCCCTTGGAATCGATGACCTGGTCATTAAAAAATCTGGCTATAGACTCTTGAATTGCTTTGATTTAGTCTTGCCGTATGACCTTTTCCTCCAACCATCGAGCTTACAGGTTTGAATTAAAGGAAAATAAATTAATATATGTACATACATATATATATATAAAGACACAGTAACACAATCAATAATAATAATTAAATGAATATATAGTGTATTTTTAACGTACTTTGAGTCTCTCTGTAGGAGTTCTTTGGGAGACCTCCTTGATAAACTTGTAAACATAGTAACCACAGTAGTTGTTCCCCTATTCCTGCGTCAGACACCACTTTACGAGAAAAAGATTTGTCATCCAATCTAGTGATCCGGTGAAAGCTATATGTTTAATTAATAAAGATGATGCGATTTAGGGGACTTACTTTCAAAGGGATTACATTCAGTGGCGCTTTGCATTTTTCCATGTGTTGCTTCTCAATAAAGGTTTTCCAAACACTGCCCAATAAAAAATTTGCCACGTCATCAGATATAGTTAATCATCATGTTTGTGTGTATATATAGTTGCTAGAGATACCGAAATTACCTCTGAATAATATCTATCATATCTTAGTAGTCTTGTTGTGGTTTTCTCATCGAGTCATAGATTATCAAGTGACTTTTCACCAGATCGATGTCCATCAATATCCAGTGATTGCTGCATGTGTTTATAGGATATAATGCATAACACTCATTAATTAACTAGAATCAACATATGAGCCATTAAGGATGATCGACATTATTAACACTCACTTGAAGTTGTAGGGACAGAGTATATCCTTCTTGTGGCGTTGGTTCACTAAGAAGTTCATGAGGTTACTCTCTGACTCAGACTTCCAATTAGGCTTTGGAGTAACTGGGTCTTTGAATACTATATGGGGATCAACAAAACCAATTTCATTGTAGCCTTCCTTTCTGCGCTCTGTGATTGTAAATCTGCATATATATAGTACTTGTTAGGATAATTTATATGCATATACACACATATGATGAGTTTAATAATAGATCGAAAGAATTATTACTTACAGGCAATAGCAGCTAATGATAACTTTGTCCAGAGAGGTCAGGTGGCATAGTTGATGAAATTCTGCAAAGTCAACATACATAACATCATCGCCACGGAACCAATGTTCGTCTCTAATTCTGACACCAACGCAGAAGTCTCCACCGGTAGACGCCTGCATGTACCACTTGTTTAGCAGGTACATTTGCGTCCCCAAATCACCTAAGGCTTGAGGGTTGTATAGACTCTGGCCTAGTACAAATTTTTTCTTCCAAATATCAACCTCTGCCGCACACTCAATGTTTTCATCACCAAACATCTGGTAAAGGTCGAGACCAGTCTCTTCAATAAATTCACCAAGGTGAAACAAATCGACATCCGGAGGTATGTTTGCCTGATGCATTAATCCTAAATTCAAACCATATTCATTACCAACAACTAGCGGGGGGACTGAATGGTGCGATTGTTGTCCGAGTTGTGCAACTCCTTTCCCTGCCTGCTTCTTTTTCTGTGCCGCCTCAATTGACTTGGTGAGAGTGCGGTCATAGTCCATTAACGTTGCTTTGGATGGCTTACGAGATTCTCGCTGTTGTTGCTGGTAAGAAGCCACCTTTTTTCTTAGAATATCTGGAGCTACGAAGAAGTACGCTTTCTTTGGGTTTCTCCTTGCTTCTTGATCCTTTTTAAGTTTGTCATAGAATCTGGACATATCTTTTTTATATGCATCAGTTACTTCTTCCTTCTCTTCAGATATTATTTTGGGAATAGCCCTTGGTTTCACGGTGACTTTCTTTGCCGGCGGGGACTGGTTCTTCGTTTGCGGGGCTGGCCTCTTGCTAGTACTTGGCTTCTTGGTAGGCGGGGGCGGGGGGGGGGGCGTTGGAGACCTCCTTGGAGGTGGTGGCAGCGGCGTTGGAGACCTCCTTGGAGATGGTGTGGATGCAGCCTCGCCTTCCAACACATTGTCATCGTACAGAGCACTATGATGATCTAGCGATTGAACAATTGGATTTAGGTTGGGGGAGGATCTGCTACAAAAAAAGAAATGACATATTATTATGAGCAGATTGTTAATTATTTAAGCCAATATAAATTAATGATGTAGTGTTTTCATCCGCACCTATGGTGAGGTAGTTTAGGAGGAGGTGGAGGCGACATCCCGGGAATGA